GCATTGTGATATTAATAAAACAGATAATTACGGACGCACGTTAGTACATCATGCTGCAAGGAGTGGTAACTTTGATTTAGTTCAGTATTTTATTACTGAACAAGGTTTATCTCCTACTGCAGTTACTAAGGATGGCCTCACTGCTTTACATTATGCCTCAGTGTCTCTTAACTTATCTCTTGTTAAAGAATTGTAATAACTACCTATCAGTTAGATCCTCATCAAGCTGACAGTAATGGTAAGCTACCAATTCATTATGCTGCTGAATCTGGTGATATTTTACTACTGGAATTATATGTGAAGGATTACAAGTGTAGTCTGAGCCTAACAGATAACAAAGGTCGGAATGTTATTCATTTTTCGTCATTGAAAGGTCACACTCACTTTATCAATCATATCACCAGTCAGTATCCTCAATACATTAGTTTACTACACTCTACTGACAATGAGGGTAGGATACCATTGCATTTAGCCTGTGAGAGTGGTAATATTGAATTGGTCACATTTCTAATAAATGATATGAAATGTGATGTCAATGCTAAGAGTACACGTGACAATACATGTGTCATATTTGCCAGTTTCTCAGGTAATCTTGATCTAGTACAATTACTAATACAACAGTATAAGCTTGAGCCTTTAGCTGCTGATAAATATGGTTTCACAGCATTACATGCAGCAGCAGAGAATGGTCATGCTCATATACTGGAATGGTACAGTCAGGAGTATAGTGTGGATATTACTAATCACACTAGCAATAACAAGTACACACTAGCTCATTCAGCTGCTTATAAAGGTAAGCTACATTGTCTACAGGAACTGATCAACAAGTATCAGTGTGATGTTAATGCCACTACTACTGATACTTATAGTACAGTTCTTCATAGAGCATGTGAAGGAGGCCATGTTCCTGTTGTAGTTTATCTCACTAGTCTTCCTCAGTGTAATGTAGCAGCTAAGACTTCTAATGGATCAAAAGTTCTTCACATTACCTGTGAGTACAGTGACTCTCTTCCTATACTCAAACATCTGGTAGAGAATCATGAGTTAGATCTGTGTGCTGTGAATGATGAGGGAATGGCTCCTATTCACTATGCATGTTTAAAAGGAAGATTGAACTTGATCCAGTACATTATAGAACACATACCATCATCACTTGAACTACCTTACAGTAAACATGGTCGTACTCCATTCCTTATTGCAGTGTACTTCAATCAGTTAGAAGTTATTAAATATCTTATTAGTAAGAAGTGTAATCTATCAGCTACTGATGATGAAGGGTCTGGAGCAGTTCACATATCAGTAGAGAGGGGTCACTTGAATGTATTGAAGTATCTCATTGATAATAATTATTGTAATCCTAATGCAACCAATCATCAAGACCGTACACCACTACATGTTGCTGTAGCAGCTAATAAATATGAAATATTAGAATATTTACTGAGTAAGAGTATACCCTCAATGAGTGTTGTCTGGTTACGTGAGATAAAGTGTTTATTAGACAGTCCTCATGACATATACAATAATCCACATTATGCTGTACTTATTAATGTACAAGATAAAGATGGTAATACACCATTACATGTAGCCTGTGAAGATGGAGAACAGAGTATGGTATCACTATTACTAAAAGCTCAGTCTGTCTAACAATAACTTATTAATTACTAACAAGAAAGGACAGACACCATTACACTTAGCAGCTGCCTCTGATTATAAGG